CAAGTCATGTGTTTGCCATCCTGTGACCTGTGGGACTATTTTCCCTTCCATTCATTAGACATTAGCAATTGTTGAACTAAATTGAGCTCACCACATTGTTTTGAGCCAAAGCTTTTGTTGTTTTTACGTTTTGAGGGCTCATGTTAAATCTGTGAGCAGAGGTTTCCGAGAGAAAGCTAGCCAATTACTCCAAGTGTCTGAAGTAAGGCAAGATTCTTTCTAGGAGCTGCGTGTATTGACGTTAGGTTTGTATAATTAAGAAGTGTAATGAAAGGAAAAGTCCATAATTGATCTTCACAGTCACAACTAGCCTAGTGTTCTATAATTCGACACAGGTCCCCAAATTAAATGTCACATGTGTAAAAAAAAATCAAAAGGCACTGAGCTTGTAATGTATATTTTATTTTGCACAAGCTTGCATATATACTGCACATACATTCAGTTTAAGAGAAGATGGAAGGCACACAAGGCAATTGGACTACTGTATCCTTTAAGTGGTACAAAGCAAAAGGTAAAAGTTTGGAGAGTATACAAAAGCTTAAAACACACAAAGTAAAACCCCCTTCCCACCCTCCCCCCAACAACTTTTTATTTCCTGTTTTAAAATTTAGTAGCTGCCAAACTAAATCTTTTTTACTTTTACTTTAAAATCAATTGTCTACTGCACCTTTTTATTTTCTTTTTAATATGGACAGGGAGTCTCATTTTTTAAAATCATATCAATTAATATTACAGTACATCCTTGGTAATACAAAATTGTACACCTTCATCAAATAAATTAGGATAAATTAAACCAATAAATTATGCAAAGTCTTCAGAACAATAGACAACAACAAAAATCCACAATTGAAATTGCCTCTAGCTAAAAAAAAAGAAAAAAAATCAAAAATCGACTTTATCAATTCAGTTATTGTACTATATTCAAATCAAAGGATCTTTATTACAAAAAAAAAGAGCTTAATAATGCTATTTACAACATATTGCTAAATAATATAAAGGCAGTGTTTTGTCACGGTTTATACTATATACATATGAGAAATGGCTGGGACAATATTGGGGAAACCAGGACCTTTGATTCTTCTAGATAGTACTGAGACCAACCCCAAACACATTTGTTTGTCTAATTCTCATTTTGAAGTGGTAATATACAATTACTTAAAAATACAACCCCCCCCCCAAAGTGGAGGATTAGAATACTTTAAAAATACAGAAGAAATACATTTTCACAAAAGAGGGCCAGTCTGTTTGCCTTTCCTGCTCACATTTGTGCATTTTAGGGGGGCTGTCAGATTTGAGAGAGGGCTCAGCTGAAAAGACTCAAAGCCCAGAAGCTTCCAGATTCTGTTGTATTCTTAGAAAGATAATTATAAGAAGATACAAAGGTTAAACACCAGTTTTGATCCCAGCTCTGAATATGAGCATTTTAGCTTTAGTTTTATAGATGGTTTACAACCAACAGATCTACAGAAAACAAAGCTGCATTTCTTCAACATAACATTTAAGTGCAATACAGTAACTGCTTACTCATATAAACCAGTTACATTCTTTTAAGGGGAGCTTTTTGAAAACAATGCTTCTTGTAATTTACAAACACAGAGTTTGTACCAGAAGAAAACATTTGTACTATTCACACCAATGAATATTCTATAATATACATGGCAAAGAGATTTTGCTCTGTCCTCACATGTACACTGCTTCTTTCAGGGGAGTCCGTAAACCACTTTTTCTTTGATGAGTTTATGATTACTTCTGGGTGGCATCCTGTTTTTAAAGCCCCCGAATCTTTAGCTTTATGACTTAATATTAACCGGTATGTGTGTGTGTGTGTGGGGGGGGGATGGAGGGATTACTTACTATATGTCTTCATGTACACAGAAAAGAAATTTCATAAATTTACAGAAACTGCATTACCCTTGCCCTTGATATTTGATGAAAGAGACTGTTATCTTTTAAAAGTAGAGAGCAGGATTTTCAAGAATGCTTTCAACTGTCTACTCGTATACAGTCACTGTAGCGTTCGTAATAAATTTAACAGATGTTGTGAGAATGTAGTTACTTATTAAAATCTCATGTCTTACGTAACAACAGCCATGAGGTTAAATATTTACATTGCTTTATAAAAGTTCCCCTCTTGCTTTAGTGTTTTTGTTTTGCTTTTTTGTTTGTTTTTAAACTTTTTTAAAATGATATTCACCCACATCCCTAGCACAGCAACAAAGATTCTGCAAACATAAAACACTTTAATTAAATAATACTCGGAGGCACAAAGCAAACTTCAGGAATATGTGGGTGAACATTTCCTTAAATAATTACTACATTCTACCATCTTCCACACTGTTTTACCATTGAATGTGAAACGTTCTCCATTAAACAGCCAGAGATACAGTAAGAATTAAATGTTTTGTTGTTGCAAATAGAACATTCTTTTCACAAAACATAACAAATGTCTAAAATATGTCCTTAAATCTAGATAGGAAAAGGTAAGCTTTCCACTTCACACGCATATATATATGTATATTTTTACATGTGTGTATATGTGTGTGTGTTTTATGTTCACATATTTGCACACACATATATAGCACATGGTATGAAATATTGCTTCTATACTACTTTTCATTAGGCTAAGAAAACACAAGATTTGCACCACAGTTACAAAAAATTGGCTTCTACAAGAATTTTCAAAACTTGAATGCTGCTCAAACAATTGAGGAAAAAATAATTTGCGGTATCAAACTGTTCTAAAAATTCTCTTCTTCAAAAACGTATTCTCCCGCTTTGTTTTAAAAAGACACAAAATATGCATAGCTATCAACGTTATGTCAAACAGCCAGAAAAAAAAATCTAGTGTTTATTGCAGCTGTAGTAATTGGAAATAAAGTCAAAAAGATGAAATTGAAAGCCACAGAAGGCACAAGAACAATTGTACTTGTGGGGGAAAAAGTGGTATTTTGAAGGATTTTTAAAAATCCCCCCGCTGGTGCATTTTAGGTCTAGGCACAGACTATAATCTCAAGTGTATATGCAAAAATAATTTAGGGCTAGCAGAAAATAAGTGATAATGTGGTATTTCAACATGGCCTTTGTACTTGTTTTTTTTTCTATGTAAACTGTCCCTCATCCTTCACCCTCCCACCAAAGAAAGTTAACTTTCTCCCAAGAAGCCAATTTTCACTCGGTGAGAGTTGAGCTAAGATTTGCAAGATGGCGATTAAAAAACAACAACAACAAAAAACCCTGTTAAATAGGAGTTTTGAGAGACAGGCTTTTGTCATTTTCCAATGCTCTGGGAGGCACAAGATTTTATGATTGTAAAAGGGGGAAAACCATCTAAAAGCAAAGTGGTTGAGCTCTATGTTCTGAACAATGAGGTGAGTTTATCCTCATGCTGCAATTTCTGCTCCGTAATGATTTCTGTGCCTCATTGAATACTGAGAGGATATTATCGTTGATAAGAGGATCTGCATCTAGTTGTGAACACACACTTTTGCTTAATTTGGCTGTTTAAATTAGGAAGGCAGGGGAGAATAATACCCAAAATTTAAATACGCCTGGAATCAATACTGAATTTGCCCCAGATCCAGAAGATTCTAGCAATCTGAGTACGTAGGTGCACACACACACACACACACACACACACACACACACACACACTACGGTTTTGCCTGTTACCTTGCAAATGGCAACACAACGTTGATATGAATTACATGGAACAGCAAAGACCCAGCTTATCGGACGGGAACAGTGAACGCCACACTCTTTCACGGGAAGCAAGTCAAAAAAGTGTGACCAAGGGTTGAGATTGCTTCCCTCCTTTGTGCCGATTGGATTTTTTTTTGGTTCGCATTTTATTTCAAGGTCCTGATTATCTGAACTTTTCTTTTCCCCCTCTGAGGAAGCTGGAACAAGAACAAATTGGATCTGATGGCTCTGTGTGCGTTGTGGAGGAGAGCGCGAGCCGGGGGACGTGTTTGGCTGTGGGTGCAGAGCGACACCGGTGGCATTCCATCCCCGGCCACTGCACTCCGTCCACACTGCAAGCGCTGGTTAGTTTCCTCAGCGACGCAGGTCATCATAGAACTGTGCCATTTCATTTAAAGTCAGCAGGTTTTAAGGCTTTGTGCTGACAAGAACTGCCTTCCCACATTCCTGTCCATCAGCAGAATTTATAAACGACATTCAATTACAGAGATTGGGTCAGCTAGTTAGTCACATGGGTCAACCTGCGTTCCCCTAGGTCAAATGTATTTTTATAAAAATTAAGGGAAAATGGTATTTATGTTCTGTATGCTCTCAATACCAGGCTTCTGACTGTGTCGTCTTAGGAGGTGTATGTCACGTTACCTAAGGGTCAGGAAGGGTTTGGAAAAGCCTATTTGAATGCACAAGGAATTCTTACTGCATCTGCACACAAAACCCACCAAAAGAAAACAAGTGTCAATGTCACACGACTTTTGTAAGAGCAAGTATGGGACGTTGTACACCTTCAAAACACTGGAAAAAGAGAAAAAGGGGAAAAAAAAGAGGAGAACCATTGAAGAAAGCATAAAATAGCAGCTAGTTTTCTTAGGTGTGCTGAAATTGTGTCTTTTGGGGTAACCCCTAGCCTTCGCTATGCTGTACACGCTTCTTATATTTTGGTCAATGCTAGCTTCTGAATTAAGAGAAACTTCATCAGTTGCTTTAAAATGCTATACCTAAAATGAAGAATCACTTAATTAGACTTTCACCACTTTGACTATCCATCGGGGTAGTGTGGAATTCAATATGAAAAACATAGTTCATTCGCATACGTGCTCCTCTCAGGAGGTGAAGATCAAATCAGCTTACGGCCGTCAACACACTTGTAGTGTCAGCAGGAATTTTATGGTCAAGTTTGGTTGTCCTTTGTTCCTTACAATAGAAAAGTATTCAGAAAATAGTGTTTTTGGGGGAGGGAAAAAAGTGTTCAATATTAAACAAAAATCATTGTTTTCAGCATATAAACAAAATGGAGTAAAGAGTAAATTTGAAACTGAAGTGCCTTTTAATATCTGAAGCAAGATAAATAGAAAATGATAACAAGTTATAAGGGGTTTTTCTCTATGAAGAAGGATAGAGGCTTATCACTTATTATGAAAAAGAACCTACTATGTAATTTAGAGAGGGAACTAGAGAGGATTGTGGGTGGATTTCCAGTCTTATCTTGAAAGAGTCTGTTTTGTGCAAAATTGCTTTGCCTCCATAAAAAAATTGGTGCTAGCTTGGGATGTTTGCCATTTCCCTTAGGAAATATCACAGCTAGTGATTATTTTTCTTTTTTAAATTTGGCCTTTTGCGGCACTTGTAAGAAGTGAGCTGTTCATCTGCCATTGATTGGCATTCTTTCTAAACATGTAATAAAAAAATCTACTTACTGAGTTCAAACCAAGCAGAATATTTAAGTTTAATGTGGTTTCATTGAGTTTTCTGACCTTCTTAGCAGTAAAAACAAGAGACACCTCACTCTCTGCAGAGTTCTGCTGTGTCATGGGTCTCCCTCTGGCAACCGCCATTTGCAGTAAGCCATCCATCAAGCAGAAGCATCTTGAACAAATGCCCTTCCTTGCCAATATAGACTTTACACACGTCCACATTCCTTTTTCCCTGAAAATCAACCCTATTTTAAGTCTCCAAATGTTAAGGGCCTTGGGCAAAAGTAAACTAAAGGCAGAAGGAAAAGAACCATCCCCTTGCAATGGAAAACAAAGGAAAATGAGAGAAAGGTGAGGAGGAATTACCAGCTGATTTCATAACATATCCATGCCTCCCATACACACATATATATATATAATCAAAATCTAGACACGTATAACTTGGACATCCAAAGGGGACTGCTACTATTCATATATTCCAAAAGAGTTGTTGAAATTTCTACTCATGAAGCAGCTCTTGGAGGCAGTTCGGGGATTTGAAAATCTCAGGGACTTCACTATCCAGCTTGCAGATGACCTTGTATATGGCCTTCTTCCAGGAAGGATCAACATCTTTGCCTGCGATAATGGCATTGAAAAACTCCCGTAATGTGATCTGCGCAACTTCCAGGAATCTCTCTGGAACCTGCTGATACAAGGAGACAATGGCATTAATAAAGTTTTCAGTTTCAAGTCTCCAGTTCTTCAAAGGAAACTGAGCTAAGTTCTTTCTTTCAGAAAGGGGCTTACATGGCACCTGCATTTTCTAAAAATGGCCGGCCTCTATTCTCTTATGTAAAGTCGTTATATATAGTAGCATTGTAATGTGGGGTTGACAGCTTCGTAGAGTTTCAGAATGAGACCTGTGCCAAGGATACATGCAGACCTATTGAAAAGCTAGAATTCCACTGTGATGGTTAGGGAAAAAAAGGGGGACCCTCTGTTGGGATTCTTCATTAAATCGGTGTATTCCAGAAGCAAGTCTCCAACCAGTCTCCCAGAATGTGAATCATATTTCCTTTTGATATCCATGATGAGAACAAAGTGTGTTCTCAAAAGTAAAATACATATTGGGTTGTCAGAAAAGTCATGACGCATTTTTGCAAGGAAAAACATAGAAAAAATACATCATGACTTTTCCGACAACCCAATAATTGGCCTTTGATATAAACAAAGCCCAAGAAAACCAAAATCAGAGTTGCCTGTTTACATCAGGACTGACTCACATACTATTGTATTTTATAGTAATCTGCACTATCCAGTACTCTCTATACAGAAAGGAGTGAGATAATGACATTAACACTGAGTCCCCAAATACAAAATTTGTACTGAATCCTAAAATTTTACATCAGAAAATACTTTACCTTGAGGTTAGAATTACACCATAAGCATGATTCATGCAGCTGATAGTAATAAAAACTAACATTTTTGGAGTGTTTGTTTATGTGCTGGGCACTGTGTTATAAATTAAGTGAATGACGTCATTCAATTCCCCGAACATCTCTAAGAGGCGTTATTATCTCCATTTTACAGTGAGAAAACTTGAGTCTCAGAGATCAAGGGGATTATTCAAAGCCATTATGTTCCAAGGTAAACAAACATTCCACAAGTATTCTTTTTTGAATCCCTATTTTTAATCCTTTTATTCCACAGCAATTAGTATATATATATGTAGTGTCTGTATGTGTTCTTAATTGCTTATTTAATAGTCTGACCTCTTGTCTAGGGAAAGGAGTAGCTATTGATGTACTTAGTTAGTATTCTAAAGCATGGCCTACCTTTCCCTACCTCAAGATAATGGAGTCACAGAATCGTTCCATGAACTCATGATTTTCCAAGTACACATTGACAGTAGATTTCTTTTAGCGGGATACTTCTGCATTCATGTTTTATTTTTACAGGAAGTGCAGATATATGAGGAAGGAAATGCAATATATTTATATGTGTAGACAGATCTGCCTACACATATATAAGAGGTGAAAGATTTTCATCGCAGTTCAGACATGCCACTTATCAAACTAAAAGGGGGGTACTGTCTTGGTGAACATATTTGATCCTTTTCTCAATTCATGGAATGGACTTTTCTATAATGACAGTAACTGTTAAAGTAAACTAGAATGATCGCCATTTTTACACAGACTGTTTTCAACATTTACAATCAGACAAAGAAGTTCAGTGCTTCCAATGGCAAGTCGCTTGTCCTTTGAAAGAAACCTAATAACTCCCCAGAAAAAAACAAAAACAAAACAGGGCCCCCATCTGGAGCCAATCAGAGTCTTAGAAAAGGTGAGAATTTCAAGTAGCCCCTCCCAAAGACACACACACTGGCCAGCTTCTCACAATACAGTTCCCAGCACTGCCTGAAAACCCCCAAAACGCTACCTTGTCCCCCATCAATGTGCAAAGCCATGTACCCCAAAGGCCATTCCCTGACGAGAGCTCATTTGGATTTTCTATAAAACTGTGCTGATTTCCCCCCAAGTCTCCTGCACATACATGAATATTTGTGGGATGGGAGGGGCCCTGAGGAGGGCTGAGCACTCCTGCTCCCACTCATCCTTATACTGATAAGTAAAACGTCATCAAGCAGTTTTTTTGAGCATTCTACCCTCTTCCCCTAAAGATAATCCTTCACATTTTATCAAATGGACATTATTGAGAGAGAGAATCTGGCTGGAGAACAGTTAGGCAGTGCAGCTATCCACTCTAAACTAACTACTTGGTTTGGGAGCTGTTAGCCAAATGCTACAGAAACATAATCATAGGCATTTATTAAAATAAACATTTCAAGAAGTGTGGTTTTACTGGCCACTGGCAACAGAGCCATGATGAAGATCTATGTTCCTTGAACACTCGGGGAGAGCTGTGAGGGACAGAGGGTATGGCAGCTGCTTCTGATGAGGTCAGGGAAGGCTGGAAGCCCCCCAAGACCCCACAGGCGGTCTGGGGATCCAGGGGCCAAGGGAGCAGGGGCATTGCTTAAGAGGAAGAAGATGAATCTAGAACAGTGTCAGCACTAGAGCGAGGGAGAGAAGTGTAGTTCTACTGCCTGTCTGAGAACAAATGAAAGTCACTTCTTTGAGGGAGGTATGCAGTGTCCACTTAACTCTTCTTATCATTTGCCATGCTTGTTAATGGTTTCCGGTGGGTTTATCCTTTTTTAAACATTCGTTTCTTTTGATTGTACTCTTGGGCTGCCCTTTACCATCTTTTGTATTTGTGTCTTGATGTTATTTAACTTTTCACCTACTTATATCTAGTTGTAATGAATTTATCATAAGATGTCTCTAGATAAAGAGCCATGGCTTCTATTCTGCATATCCCCATAATGCTTAGCAATGTGCTTCTGAATCGTTTTTGATAAATATTTCACAATGAGATCTTGCCTTCTGCTTTACTCCATGTAACTCTAGCATCACACTTATCTTTTCCTTCACTACTTTAAAAAAAAAAGAAATTTTAAAATAAGATGAAATTGAAAGGGTTGGAATAGATCTCCATAATCATCATTTTATCTATGCAGAAACTAAGAGATTCTGTAAGATGAAGAAATTATGAGATTAAGAGACTCATGCAAAATAACTTGTCCAGGTGTTTTTCCATTAAACCGTGTTGGGTCCTTTTAAATGCATTTTCAGTTATTCTTATTTATCTGAGGCATCAAAACCTTGACAAGCTGCGGATCTGTGATTGAGAAAAGCCACAGAAGAGCTAGTAACTTCAAAATAAATGGGAATTGTACAAAAGATCCTAGGGGAGACTTTGGTTTTGGGTTTATGTTTGGGAAGGGATGAATTCTTTGCAAACAAATGAAATGCTTTGCTAATTTCGTGCTTACTTTGAGGCAATACTCATGCAATGAATTGGGTTACATAAAATAAAGTTATAATGAGCTCCTCTAATGCTAGAGCAATTAATCTTTTTTTGGTGGCTCTGGAGAAGTGAACTGATGAGTAGCAACTGATCTTCTGAGACAGCGCCAAGGAATTCCATCCATAGGTAGAACCTTACCTCTCTGCTAGAAACATTTCCTCAACCCCATTTAACAGAGTAAGTTGGGGGAGTCCTTTCTGATTTGGGGGGGTTTGTCTTAGAACTCAGGCTTCTGAAAATGATATTTCCTGTATTTTTCTGTCCCTCTTCACACCTAATGGATTTCCAATCACTAATAAACATCTGCAGAAAATCCCTTAGTGACAAGTAATCCCTTATCTAGGTTTCTTTTAATAGAACCCAACAATGTGCAGAATGAACCCTAGAGTATCTCCTCAGCATCAGGTGGCAACAGTCAATCAAGTCCCTGGAATGCAAGACAATGCCGGGGCTGAGGGGGGAGGGAAGGCCGTGCCTTTGGACATGCCACAGGGGAAAAACAAAAGGTTCCAAAGTCTCTGGCTGCCGCCCTGAAGCTATTGTGGGAGCTGCTGGGCTGAGTTCTTCAGGGGAGGAGAGTGGAAACTTTGCTCTGATAAGAGGCAGTCCCAATATAGGAGCCTTGCCCCACATGGTCTCGCCTCTCCTTGCCGTGATATTTGGAGGAGAATCATATTGCAATGAGGTCCTTGAAGACACTCATAAATTTGAAGGGGGCTGACTATCAGTATCTACCCATTTCATCACAATTGTCTGTACTTGAGTCTCCTCACTGCAAGAGGACCTGTGGGCTCCAATGAAATGGGGGAAACAGGAAGGTGTTTAAGTCTGCTCAGTTGTGTGTGCGCGCGCACATGCACACACATGTACACACACACACACACACACACACCTTGGAGTGTTGGGTGGATGGTTATTTTGCTGTTCTTTTTTTTTGTTATTATTAGAATGAGTGGCAAAGACACATCCTCCCCCTACCCCTCCCTCCCCCGTCTTCCTCCTCCTCTTCCCAGTTGCTTTACCTTCAAGGATGATTTGTTTTATTAAACTGACTGTCCCTAGCCTCTGCAGTACATAATAAAAGCCTGACATAGCAGGCTGCCTGCCTTCTGTGTCCTGCAGACACTCATCATAAGTGTCAGGACATACCAAGGTTAGCGGTCACCGAAAGTGTGCTCGCTGGCCCAAACCTTGCCAAACGCACTTGGCAGCTGAATGAATGTCACAGAGAATAGAAGGGGAATTATAAAGGTTAAAAAGAAGACAGCCTCTCCTATTTTCTGGAGACAGAGAAGCCGCTTTTTCACACCTCTGAGACATCCATTCCCCAAGCTCATCCATCGGCCTCTTGTGGGAGACCTAAACCTTGCCCCTTGCACAGTTCCCCATGGGTAACTTCCATCGTTGAACCCCTTTAAAAATTGGTCCACTGGCCTAACTTCTTCGCAGAAATGACCTTTGCTGAAATGGACAGAAAACAAGCCAGGCAGAGACCTCTCTCCCTAGCCCCTCCCCAATAACCAACTACTCCAAGGGCTCATCAAGCTTATCAGTAGGTTACAATCTTATCAAGGGAGATCATCTTTTCAGTTCATCCTTTAACCTATTGTTTTGTTTCTTCTTTCAAACTTACTTCAACAGGGAAATGGAAAAGGAAACAGACGTATGGGCAGAAGTGTCTAACTGACGGAAAAGTGAAATCCCGGCTCATATTTTGGCGTATTAGTTTGTGTGTGGGTTTTCTTTCTTCTTCCTCCTTCCTTTTTTTTTTTTTTA